AGGCCTCTTCAGTTCCCACGTTAGGAAAAAAAATATACAATCACAGATAAATGAGTGGGATTTTAGAAGCAGGGACCACAATTTTATCCAATGTGGGTGGAGTTTGTGGTTTACCTTAATAGTAAATAGTACCTTCATTTCTTTCAGTTAGCCGGGCTGGCCTGATTTTATATTGGTTTTTAAAATTGATACTGATTTTAATTGAAATGTTTTAAATTATGGGCCAAACTTTATTTAATTATTTTAAAACTATTTTTAACTTTTGTGTACAAATGTTTTATTTTGGGCTGTTCACCACCCTGAGTCCGAAAGGAGAAGGGTGGTATAGAAATTTAAATAATAAATAAATAAATAAATAAATAAAATAGTAATCAATTATAATTTGGTGTGTTTTTTATGTATGATAAACGTTCAAATGTAGAGGGGCTGTTTTTTCTATTTACATTGCAGTAAATCTTGTATTTTTTATAAGCTCTCTCTTTGGGTCTTTGGGTTTGTATTAATGCAAGTTATCGGATACCGTTTGGAAAAATAACTAAAATATTCTGGGCGGGGGGGGGAAATTGAGCAGGTTTTTTGTAACCAAGGCCAATAGCGTATTCTTCCATTTTGCAAATTTGTGTTTTAAGCGCTGTGGTTTCCTACAGATGACCAGCAAACTACTTTCTCCCACTCGTCTTATGACCACAACTTGAGGCCAACATTTCTGTCATTAAGTGAGACATTTGTTAAGTTGAGTTTTGCCTCATTTTACCACCTTTCTTGCCACAGTTGCTAAGTGAATCGTGGCAGTGAGTAGCCCGGTTGTTAAGTGAATCAGGCCTCCCCGTTGACTTTGCTTCTTAGAAGGTCAAAAAAGGTGACACGCGGACACTGCATCCGTCATAAATATGAATCAGTGGCCAAGACTTTGAATTTCGATCGCGTGGCCATAGGGAGGCTGCAATGGTCGTAAGTGTGAAAAAAATGATCCTAAATCACTTTTTTCAGTGCTGTTGTAACTTTGAATGGTCACTAAACAAACTGTTGTAAATCGAGGAGTACCTGTAAGTAGGTAGTTCCAACTTGCTGCGAATTGCAAAAACTGTGTAAAATTGGGGCAAGCAGGATTTCCTAGGGAGCACCTATAAAATCAGGAATGGGGGAAGGAAGGAAGGAAGGATTTTTCACTTCAGGAGAAGTTACGTCTACCTGCCAGCCTCCTTTTCTAGTTTCCCTAATTTTTTTTATTATTATTTTGGAGTGTTGCTTGGCTGCTGCCTCAGATCTAGTATGATCTTGGCAATGTCTGGTTTTATTAAAAAGGATCTTTTTTGTTTGTTTGTTTAGTTTCTGTTTTCCTCCAGTCTGGTGCCAGCTGGTTCTGTCTCTGGGAAATTGCTGAGTGTCATAATGTGTAGCAAAAATTGTTGGTGTGATGCAAATCACAGCTGGTCAAAAAAATGAGTCTTTGCTGAGATCTCCCAAGATCTCCCAGGATTTATTTATTTATTTATTGGTTCGATTTATATGCCGCCCTTCTCCGGAGACTCAGGGCGGCTTACAATGCGTTAAGCAATAGCCTTCATACTTTTGTATATACCTGCTTAGTAGGGTTTTCGGGCCCCCCTAAGCGTTGTTCTTTTTTATACAAAGTCAGCTTATTGCCCCCACAAACCGGGTCCTCATTTTACCGACCTCGGAAGGATGGAAGGCTGAGTCAACCTTGAGCCTGGGGAGATTCGAACTCGCAGTAATTGCAGGCAGCTGGTGCTAGTTAACAGCACTTTAGTCTGCTGCTCCACCAAGACTCTTAAGGATCTCCCAGATTAATATATATCCTTTTAATTGTTTTTAATGTTTGTATTGTATGTTTTTATCTGGCTGTACACCGCCCTGAGTCCCTCGGGAGAAGGTGCGGTATATAAATTTGAGATAAAATAAATAAATAAAATAAATGTTCAATCTAAGGCACTGTTTTTTTTTCGATCTTAGTAACTTTAAGATGTGTAGACTTCAATTCCCAGAATTCCCCAGCCAGCCATGGGGAATTCTGGGAGTTGAAGTCCACCTGTCTTAAAAACACCGATTTCAGATTAACAGAGTTGGAAGGGACCTTGTAGGTCATCTAGTCCAACCCTCTGCCCCAGTAGGAGACCCTACACCATTTCTGACAGATGTCAGTCCAATCTCTTCTTGAATCTGGAAATCATGAGCTTTGGTAGTACAGTGGTCTAAAACACCCTGTTATTAAGACCAGCTGCCTGCAATTACTGCAGGTTCGAATCTCTCCAAGGCTCAAGGTTGACTCAGGCTTCCATCCTTTCTAAGGTAGGTAAAATGAGGACCCAGTTTGTGGGGGCAATAAGCTGACTTTGTATAAATATACAAAAGTATGAAGGCTATTGCTTAACGCATTGTAAGCCGCCCTGAGTCTCCGGAGAAGGGCGGCATATAAATCAAATTAAAAAGAAAAAGAAAAAGTCACAATCATTAATCATCAGTCATAACGAACAGTAAATAATAGTCTGCTATATTCAGGTATTTTCCTTTATCCTTTTATTTCTGCAGGATAAATATTATGATTATTCGGTGTCCCCTTTCTGACTGTGTTTCTATGGCACATCGAGGGAGTTCGGCTGAATTGGTGTCGAATCAATTTGACAAATGGGAAACCTTTAGAGAAGCTTGATCCAACCGATCGAGCGATCCTGACATACTTGAATAAGGTAATTCTGGGGTTTTTTTTTCCGAATCCTGAAAAGGTAACCCTATCAATGCCTAAATTAATAAGGCATGGAAATAAAGTCTGAAATATGAAATTAATGTAATGATAAAATATAAGAAGTATTCTTTTTTTTTTTCTTTTTCCTTTTTTTTTCATGGGAGTCAAACTTTTATTAAATAATTGTTAAATGAGAATAAACATATAGGGATATATAAAATGGTCAAATAAGAGGAAATTAAATAATTTGTAAATTGTGGATATGGGATTAAGCACAAATTTTTTTAACCGATCGACACACTTTCTGAGATTGTAATGGATGATGATTGTTTTATGTTTTGTTATGTTTAAAAATAAAACAAAATATGCAAAAAGAAAAAGGCAGAGAGTTTACAGTAAGGAGAGACTACTGGCTCTTCTATTGCAGGAGGGAAAAATCACAGCAATGACTTGATCGCACTAATTTAGATAAAGAGTTCTTCATACTTTAAGTTACGTTGTCCTATTACCTGCTTGTGAAAATACGTCTCTTTTGAACTGTATGGTACGACGTTTAGTTAAAAATGTTTATATTTTATTATTAAATAAAATGAACTTAAAAATGTTACGTTCAAAAAAAAAAGAAAAAGAAAGTAACTCAAATGTGGCTCGATACAAGTGGTTCTTACGACCACAACGGAGCCCAAGATTTACACAGCTAAGCAATTATTTCACGTTAATAAAATGTCAACCCTCAGCCAAAGTTTACATCCTCAAGAATAGCTTGTCAGATTGAAAAAATGGGATTTATTTTTTTAAAGCAAGGCAGTTGGTGAGTTTTATCCCGTTTTAATGAGCTTTTTTTTTTTTGCCAGAGTTGTTAAGTGAGTCATGCAGTTGTTAAACGAATCTGGCTTCCTCTATTGCAGTGTTTCTCAACCTTGGTAGCTTGAAGATGGGTGGACTTCAACTCCCAGAATCCCCCAGCCAGCGCTGCTCACACCGGCCAGCTGATTTTTGGGCCTTCCGGGCCCACCGGAAGTCGGGAAACGAGTCGTTTCCGGCCTCCAGAGGGCCTTCGGAGAGGTGGGGAAGGCTGTTTTTGCCCTCCCCAGATTCCTAGAAAACCTCTAGAGCCTGGGGAGGGCAAAAAACGGGCCTACTGGGCCCACCGGTAACCTTTTTGCCTTTGCGTGCCAAAAGTGGGGGGAGCACGGGGGGAGTTGCATGCACATGCGCGGGGGGCATTGAATTATGGCTGTGGGCACACACACGCGCAACCCCTGTGTTCCTCCCGCTTTTGGAACGCGACGGCTACCGGTGGGCCCAGTAGGCCCATTTTTCGCCGTCCCAGGCTCTAGAGTCTTTCTAGGAGCCTGGGGAGGGTGAAAGCAGGTCCAGGGTCTCCTGCTTGAGCAGGGGGTTGGACTGGTGGACCTCCAAGGTCCCTTCCAGTTCTATTCTGATCGATTGATTGGCCGATATGCAGGTGCTAGAGTTCCATCCCCCATCATTCCCAGTCAGAAAGATGTTGCAGTCTTGGGGGTCTCCATTCAGCACAAAGAGTAATAAAGGTAGTCCTTGACTTACAACCGTTTGTTTAGTGGCCATTCAAAGTTACAACGGCACTGAAAAAAGTGACTCGCAGCCATTCCTCGCACTTATGACTACCACACCGTCCCCATGGTCATGGGAACAAAATTCAGGTTTTGGCAACCAGCGTGTATAGTGTTCCTAAGATCCCGGGACCTGCCACTTGCAATCTTCCCAGCCGACTTCCAGCAAGCAAAGAACAGGTAGTCCTCAATTTACAACCGCAACGGAGCCGAACACTTCCGCAGCTAAGTGAGGTATTTGTCAAGTGAGTTTTGCCCCATTTGACGTCCTTTCTTGCCATTGTTGTTAAGCAAATCACTGCGGTTGATAAGTTAGCGACCCGGTTATTAAGTGAATCTGGCTTCTCGCTTGACAAAGGGCCTCAAAAGGGGATCACATGACCCCAGGACACTGCGACTGTCATAAATATGAGTCAGTTGACAAGCCTTTGATCACGTGACCATGGGGGAGTCCTGCAATGGTCATAAGTGTGTAAAACGGTCCTAAGTATGAGCCTTGGTGGCGCAGCAGACTAAAGCGCTGTTAAGTAGCACCAGCTGCCTGCAATTATTGCAAGTTCAAATCTCACCAGGCTCAAGGTTGACTCAGCCTTCCATCCTTCCGAGGTCGGTAAAATGAGGACCCAGATTGTTGGGGGCAATAAGCTGACTTTGTATAAAAAAGAACACCACTTAGGGGGCTGGGGAGGCCGAAAGCCCTACTAAGCAGGTATATACAAAAGTATGAAGGCTATTGCTTAACACATTGTAAGCCGCCCTGAGTCTCCGGAGAAGGGCTGCATATAAATCGAACCAATAAATAAATAAACAAACAATAAATAGCACTTAAGATGTATATACCGCTTCACAGTGCTTTCCAGCCCTCTCTAAGCGGTTTACAGAGTCAGCTTCTTTCCCCCAACAATCTGGGTCCTCATTTTAGCAACCTTGGAAGGATGGAAGTCAACTCCTGGCAATGGGCAGAGTTAGCCTGCAATACTCTATTCTAACCACTGGGAGAGAAGGAAGGAAGGAAGGAAGGAAGGAAGGAAGGAAGGAAGGAAGGAAGGAAGGGCAATAGCCTTAGAAGAGCCTTGGTGGTGCAGTGGACTAAAGTGCTGTTAAGTAGCACTTAGCTGCCAGCTGCCTGCAATTACTGTGAGTTCAAATCTCACCAGGCTCAAGGTTGACTCAGCCTTCCATCCTTCCGAGGTAGGTAAAATGAGGACCCGGATTGTGGGGGCAATAAGCTGACTTTGTATAAAAAAGAACACCGCTTGGGGGGGCCAAAAGCCCTACTAAGCAGGTATATACAAAAGTATGAAGGCTATTGCTTAACGCATTGTAAACCGCCCTGAGTCTCCGGAGAAGGGCGGCATATAAATCGAACCAATAAATACAATAAATAAATAAGTAAACTTTTTTCAGTGGCGTTGTAACTTTGAATGGTCACTAAATGAGCTTTTATAAGTCAAGAACTGTACCCCAATCCATGAACTCCCCAGAAGATACAGTAGTGAATTTTAGGGTTCGCCTGCGTTGATCACACTTCAAACAATGAATTTTCTTCTTTTTCTCCTCCGTATAGACCGAGCTCCTTCCTCTGGTCTTTCGCTTCCCACGCTCTACGGCTGCTTTTGCTGGCTGCTTTCGAACCCTTCGCTCCGTCCTCTCTGCCTAAAACCCTCCCGAGCCTGTCACCATGGTTGGGTTCAAGCCCTCCGATATCCCTCCAACGGCAACGGTGAAGTTTTTGGGAGCCGGGACGGCGGCCTGCATCGCCGACCTGATCACCTTCCCCCTGGACACGGCTAAAGTCCGGTTGCAGGTGAGTTACCTGATGATGTCTTGTGCTGTTTGGCTTTCCAAAGAATGGAGTGGAGTGGAGGAGGAGAGAGGAAAAAGAAGGAAGGAGAACAGAAACAGAAACAGAAACAGAAACAGAAACAGAAACAGAAACAGAAACAACAGACAGAAACAACAGACAGAAACAACAGAAACAACAGAAACAACAGAAACAACAGAAACAACAGAAACAGAAACAGAAACAGAAACAGAAACAGAATTCTTTATTGTACACTTATGATGAATGCACACGAGCTCTCAGTGTAATCCAGGGGTCGGCAACCTTAAGCACTCAAAGAGCCACAAATGTCCTAACCGGAAGCCCCCCGTTCAATTCTGGAACCGACCGGAAGCCCCATCATAGAGTTTCCTCCTAGCACGGCATCCTTTTTCCTCTCCCTGTCCTAACCGAAAACTCTATCAATTGTGGAGCCGACCGGCAACAGGGAGCTGCAGCAAAAGGATGAAAGAGCCACATGCGGCTCCAGAGCCACGGTTGCCGACCCCTGTAGGTCATACAAGTGATAAATCATGATCACAATCATAAAATACATTAATCATAAACCAGAGGATACTATAGCACTCAGAGATAGGATACCAAATAAGCAATCGACATAAATCATACCAGGATACTAAATAAAACAATATCGATCGTAAGATACACGCAACCAAGTTAGAGTCCTAAGAAGCTAACGAAATAGGTAATAAGTGAGAGAGATGAGAAGAATAATAATAGTAATATAGCCCTACTACGAAGTTTGACAGTGTTGTGGGAATTACTGTATTTTTCAGAGTATAAGACGCACCTACCTTTTTTGGTGAGGAAAAGAAGAAAAAGAAATCTGCCTCTGCCTCTGAGCAATTTTGCCTCCTTGCAGCAAACAGCCTGCTTTACTTTCATTTTCGTTTTCAGCATAGCTTGATTAGCACAAGGGGAAAAAAAATCTGCTCCCAGCAATTTACCTCTTTGCAGCAAGCAGCAGAGCCCTGTGCAAAACAGCTGAGAGCAAAACAGCTGAGAGTCGGGAGGCTGATCCAATCAATTTGTGCTAATTAGGCTGTGCTGAAGCTGAAAGGAGCTGTTTCTTCTTGCTGTTTGCTTGCAAAGAGGTAACTGCTGCGAGGCAGAGGCCAAAGGATGGGGGCCAGTGAGTGGGCAGGGCTACATTTGGTGTATAAGACGCACCTAAATTTTCACCCCCTTTTAAGGGGGAAAAAGGTGTGTCTTATACTCCAAAAAATACGGTAGTTGTTTAGCAGAGTGATGGCATTTGCTACAAGCCAGGATTAACTCTCAACCTCAGGGGTCAACTAGGTTTGGCCTTCTCCAACCTGGTCCTTTAAGAGGGGAGGTGCTGTCTACAACATCTTCAGGAGGCATCAGGTTGCAGAAAACTGATGCCGGCTGGGAAATTCTTAGATCAGGTAATGTCATAGTTTCTTGTGAATAGCTAAAGTTGGTAACTTTATTGTTTGCCATACATACAGGTAGTCCTAGACTTAAGACCACAACTGAATCCAACATTTCCGTGGCTAAGTGAGACAGTTGTTAAGTGAGTTTAACAAGTGAGTTAAACTCAATTTTAAGCGAGTTTAGTCCCAATTTTATGACCTTTCTTGCCATGGTTGTTAAGTGAAACGCTGCAGTCGTTAAGTTAGTGACACGTTTGTTAAGTGAATCTGGCTTCCCCCACTGGCTGGTTAGAAGGTCGCAAAAGGGGATCATGGGACCCCGGGACTCTGCATCCGTCATAAATATGAATCAGTTGTCGAGCGTTTGAATTTTGATCATGCCACCATGGGGATGCTACAACAGACGTTAAGTGTGAAAAAGGGTCATAAGTCACGTTTTTCGGTGCCGTCGTAACATTGAACGGTCACTAAACAAATTGTAAGTTAGCTCGAGGCCTACCTGTAGTTTCTTGTGAATATCAAAAGTCAGTAACTTTACTCTTTGCCGTACATATTACAAGAATTTGCACGGACTGCTTGTTTTTGTTGTTTCCTCTGGAAACAACCAGATAAGCCTTCATGGATCTTGGGGGGAGCTTAAGCTTGTGGCTATGCAAGGATTCCAAGCTAGACCCTCACTTGACTCCTCCTCCTCTGGTTGAGAAGGGCTGCTGGTTGGACATGCCTGCCTGCAAGGGATGGAGACATCTAGCTCAAAATCTCAGTCATGGATTGATCTCAATCATCATTGCTCAGTCATGGCAGCTGTGGGTCGTAATTCCTGTTTTCGGGACCCTTCGTCCTTCAGACGTTTTTGGGTGCTCCATCAATGGAGGTTTTCAAGGAGAGGTTGGAGAACTATTTGCCTAAATTGTTTGTGGGGTCTCCTGCTTGAGTAGGGGCTGGACTAGAAGACCTCCAAGGTCCCTTCCAACCTCATTGTTCTACCATTTCTTCCTATTCAGATCCAAGGAGAGAAAAAGCCCCATGTTACCCCCAAAATGGCACAGTACAGGGGCGTCTTTGGCACCATGGCCACGATGGTGAAGAACGAGGGCCCCAAAAGTCTCTACAACGGGTTGGTGGCCGGTCTTCAGCGCCAGATGAGCTTCGCTTCGGTCCGGATCGGGCTCTACGACTCGGTGAAACATTTCTACACCAAAGGCTCAGAACGTAAGTTGGCATCGGGGACAAGGCGGGGTGCCAAGAAGCCTGCTGGGCAGGCACCGGTGGGGCAGATTTCCTTCCCCAGCCGAGTTTGGGAATGCAAGTCGTTCTTTTTTTTTATTATTTTATTGAAAAGTTTTATAAGAAATACAAACAATTTTCTCCCCCCCCACCCTTTCCCCCTCCCCACATAATAGAAAGTGTACATTTTCTTAGACATAATAAATCCTACTTATACATGTTTCCCTTAAAGAAAGCATTAAAATAAGACATTTTAATTGCATTCGGAGTTGCTCTTCTTCTCTTTCTTCCCTCATTCCACAACAAACCTCCTTCTTCTCCTCCTTTCTTTCCCTTCCCTCCCTCCTCTTCTCCTTTCTCCTTCCTCCTCTCCTACCTCATCCTACTTTTTTCCTTTCCCCCACTTCTCTCTTCTTTTTCCCCTTCTCACCTTCACTCCTACTCCTGTCCCCTTCCCTTCCTCCTCTCCTTTCTTCCATTCCTCTCCCTCCCTCTCCTCTTCCTAGCCTCTCCTCCTCTCTCCTTTCTAACTTCTTTGCTGTGATATATTAGTCGTTCTTGACTTACAACTACAATTGAACACAAAAATTAGGTTGATAAGCAAAGACAGCGGTTAAGTGAGTTTGGTCCCGTTTTTATTTATTATTTATTTATTTATTAAATTAAATATGCCGCCCTTCTCCGGAGACTCAGGGCGGCTTACAACGCGTTAAGCAATAGCCTTCATTCTTTTATATATATCTGCTTAGTAGGGCTTTCGGCCCCCCCCTAAGCGGTGTTCTTTTTTATACAAAGTCAGTTTATTGCCCCCACAAACCGGGTCCTCATTTTACCTACCTCGGAAGGATGGAAGGCTGAGTCAACCTTGAGCCTGGTGAGATTCGAACTCGCAGTAATTGCAGGCAGCTGGCAGCTAAGTGCTACTTAACAGCACTTTAGTCCGCTGCGCCACCAAGGCTCTTGGTGTTTTACGACCCTTTTTTTTTTTTAATTTGATTTATATGCTGCCCTTCTCCGAAGACTCAGGGCAGCTTACAATGCGTTAAGCAATAGCCTTCATATTTTTGTATATTTATACAAAGTCAGCTTATTGCCCCCACAATCCGGGTCCTCAATTTACCTCCCTCGGAAGGATGGAAGGCTGAGTCAACCTTGAGCCTGGCGGGATTCGATCTTACTTTAATTGCGACAGCTGGTGTTAAATTACAGTGCTTCTGTCTGTTGAGCTATCCAGGCTTCTTTTGCCACTGTTGTTAAGTGAATCACTGAATGTTAAGTGAATCGCGCTTCCCTCTTGACTGTGCATGTTGGAAGGTCGCAAAAGGGAATTGCGTGCCCCCGGGATGCTGCAACAGTCATAAATACGAGTCAGTCTGAATTTTGCTCACGTGACTGTGGGGATGCTGCGACGGTCGTAAGTGTGAGAAAAGGTCATAAGTCCCTTTTTTTCCCCAGTGCCACCGTCACTTCAAATGGCCAGTAAGTGAACTGTCGTAAGTTGAGGACTTCCTGTAGTAAAATTTGGCCAGGGTATTATTCCGTTGTCAGTCTTCCTTGCCAGAACAATGGGTTCATTTCTGGAAGGAGGTTTAACGGTGCCGACGGTGAACTGCTGGTGAACTGCTCTCTCTCTCTCTCTCTTCCTGACTTTGGCCAGATGCCAGCGTGGGCAGCCGGCTCCTTGCGGGTTGCACCACGGGGGCGATGGCAGTCATGGTGGCCCAGCCCACGGACGTGGTCAAAGTCCGATTCCAGGCCCAGATCCGGACAGATGCTGGCCGGCGCTACCAAGGCACTTTGCATGCTTACAAGACCATTGCCAAGGAAGAAGGACTCCGGGGCCTATGGAAAGGTGGGTAAGGGGCAATTTTTCCTCTGGAAGTCCATTCCTCCTCCCGCCCCATTCCAAGGGTCTTCATCCCCAATTGTATAGCTAAAGGTCTGTAGAGATTCTCCATCATCCAAGTTACGGTTGTCCCAAAAGTTTTTTTTTTTTTTTTCCAGGAGGCAACTGAACTTTCTGGTTTTTTTTTTTTTTGAAGATGTTTCTTTCTTTTTTTTTTTTTTTAATGTTTTATTATTAAGAAATTATAATAATACAATTTTTGTCCATCCGGTTACATAATATGGAAAAAGAAATAAATACAATTTACATATTGTACATATATAGATAATCTTTGCAAACCAGTTACATGGTATAAAGAATTGTGTTCTCATATCATTCTTAGTGTATATATATATATATATAATAATCTTTAACGATAAATTAGTAAATACGTAAGTCATGTCTTTTGCTTACCCATGTAACCTTTCCTTGCCTTATTATATTTCCTACCATCCACAGTACATCTTCTCTTTCTATTTCATTTTACTATTTCTTGTACTTGCTCTGGTCTCTTTCCTTTTTATTTCAATTTCCTCTTCTCTAACCACCCGTACCACTTGTCCCATACGCTGTAATAATCAGAATCTTCTCTGTCATTAATTTCTAATGTTAATTTATTCATTTCGGCACATTCCATTATTTTGCCAATTACTTGTTCCTTAGTTGGTATTTTTTTCTCTTTCCATTTTTTTTTTTTTGAAGATGTTTCACTTCTCATCCAAGAAGCTTCCTCAGCTCTGACCGGATGGTGAAGAACGGAAGGATTTCTACTCCTTGCAGATAAAGCTGGTCATTTGCATCCTTTTAGAGGGTCGTTGAGGCCACTTGGAGGTTTGTCTGTTTTCCTCGGGGTCACCTGAGCGGTGCAAATGGGGTGTGAAGTCTTCTTGGAAGTGCTGAAAGGATTGTGTTGTGGAGTTGTGCTTTCTCAGGATGTTTCAGACGTTCCAAGAAGCCTCCACACCCATTTGCACCACTCGGGGGACCCTGAGGACACAGAGAAACCTCCAAGTGGCCTCAACGACTCTCTAAAACAGTATTTCTCAACCTTGGTAGCTTGAAGATGGGTGGACTTCAACTCCCAGAATCCCCCAGCCAGCAGCGCTGGCTGGGGGATTCTGGGAGTTGAAGTCCACCCATCTTCAAGCTTCCAAGGTTGAGAAACACTGCTCTAAAAGGATGCAAATGACCAACTGTCTGCAAGGAGTATCAATCCTTCAATTTCCCCTCCATCCAGTCAGAGCTGAAGAAGCTTCTTGGATGAGAAGCGAAAAGTCTTCAAAGGAAAATCAGAAAGTCCAGTTGCCTCCAGAAAAAAACATCTTTGTGTCAACCGTGATCTGAATGACGGAGAATCTCTACGGACCTTTAGCCTTCCGGTCATCGACCTGTTGTGGCCCGTCAGCGGCCTGTGCAGCTAGTAGCCGATTCCGACAGCGAGGAGGCTGGTGTGATGCTGCGCCAGCAGCCTGTGCAGCTCGCTCGAGTCGGACAGTGAGGAGGCTGGTGTGATGCTGCGCCAGCAGCCTGTGCAGCTGGCGCTCGAGTCGGACAGCGAGGAGGCTGGTGTGATGCTGCGCCAGCAGCCTGTGCAGCTGGCGCTCGAGTCGGACAGCGAGGAGGCTGTGTGATGCTGCGCAGCAGCCTGTGCAGCTGGCGCTCGAGTCGGACAGTGAGGAGGCTGGAGAAGATGTGGTGCCAGAGGCGGGGATTCAGCCAGGGCCTTCAGAACCTCTAGAAACTTCCATGTGTGAAGAGGATGAAGAGGAGGAGCCTCTTCTCGATGCACGGGCGCGCAGAGCTGCCAAAAGGCAGGAGTGGCTCCTCAGAAAGAGGTCTCCTCGAGAGTAAGGCTTGGGGCTAATTGGCCACTCCCTTAGCCTATTTAAGGAGGAACACCACTTGCAGCAAGCTGTAGGGAACAACTTTAGTTCACTCTCCTTCGCGACTTGATCTTAATTCTCTTATCAGTTTCCTGCAAATTGCTTCTGGGCTTTCTGCCAACCATAGTAAGATTACGATTATTTATTCTTTGGACTCTTGTAGGCTGTTAAGAAAGTTAATTAACAGCCTTTGGAGTCCGTCGCTGGGGCAGAACGTGATCAAACACTCTGCACATGGCCTGTTGAATCTCCAAAAGGATGCCGGCTTCCCCTTTTTCACAATCTTTCTTTTTTTCCCCCCTCCCAAAAAAATTAGGGACACTTCCCAACGTATCCCGAAACGCCATCGTGAATTGCGCCGAACTGGTGACCTACGACATCATCAAGGATACCCTGCTCAACTCCCGTCTCATGACAGGTGAGAAAGATAGACAGCAAAGCTGGCTGGGGAATTCTGGGAGTTGAAGTCCGCCAGGCTTAAAAGTTGCCGAGGTTGGAGACCCCTGCTTTGAACCCTCTTTGCGTCCCCTCCTGCAGACGACATCCCCTGCCACTTTCTCTCCGCCTTCGGAGCCGGCTTCTGCACCACCATCATCGCCTCTCCGGTTGACGTGGTGAAAACCAGGTACATGAACTCTCCTCCCGGCCAGTACAGGAACGCTGGGAGTTGTGCCCTCAGGATGCTCCGGGACGAAGGACCTTTCGCTTTCTACAAGGGGTGAGTCAGCCGTCTTCTCAAGGGAGTAGCTAGACTAGTTACAGGTAGTCCTCGATTTACAATCACAATCGGTCTGTCTATGTATCTATCTATCATTTCTATCTATCCATCATCTTTCTATCATCTATCATCCATCCATCCATCAGCTATCATCTTTCTCTCTCTCTTTCTCTCATATATATCGGTCTGTCTCTCTTATCATCTATCTCTCTATCTTTCTTTCAGGTATCTCTATCATACATCTCTCTATCATCTACCTATCCATCCATCATCTCTATCTATCCAACCATCATCTATTTATCTGACTTTCTGTCTGTCTGTCCGTCCGTCCATCCATCCATCCATCCATCCATCCATCCATCCATCCATCCATCCATCAACTTTCTATCATCCCCATTTCCTCCCGATCAGTTGGGACTTGGGAGGCAGAGAATAGATGGGGACGGGGCCAGTCAGAATTTTTACTACCGGTTCTCTGAACTACTCAAAATTTCCGCTACTAGTTCTCCAGAACTAGTCATCTAATCAACTGATCATCTACCTACCTACCATCTATCTATCCATCATCTTATTTATCATCCATCCATCCATCTATCTCCTCTTTCTTCTATCATCTCTCATTTATATTTAATTATCCATCCATCCATCCATCCATCTACCTATCATCTCTTATTTATCATCCATCTTTCTTCTATCATCTTTCATTTATATCTAATTATCCATCCATCCATCCATCCATCCATCCATCCATCCATCCATCCACCTACCTACCTACCTCTGTCTGTCTGTCTGTCTGTCTGTCTGTCTGTCTGTCTATCTATCTATCTATCTATCTATCTATCTATCTATCTATCCTCTATATAGCAATAGCAATAACAATTACAATAACAATAACAATAGCAATAGCACTTAGACATATACCGCTTCACAGGGCTTTCTCATAAAAATTCTTTATGAGACTGGGTGGCTTACAAAAAATAAACAGAGCCCAAAATTTTATTACTAAGTGAGATATTTGTTAAGTGAGTTTGCCCACATTTTATGACCTTTCTTGTCACAGCTGTTAAGTGAGTAACTGCAGTTGTTGTTAGTAACACGATTGTGAGGTGAATCTGGCTTCCCCATTGCCTTTGCCTGTCAGGAGGTCCCAAAAGGTGATTTACATGTCCCCAGGACATTGCAACCGTCATAAGTACATGCCAGTTGCCGAGTTTTTATTTATTTATTTTTAAATTGTTTTTAAATTTTGTATTTGATGTTCACCGCCCTGAGTCCTTCGGGAGAAGGGAGGTATTTAAATTTAAATATTAAATTAAATTGAATTAGAAATTTGATAAATAAATAAATAAAATAAATAAATAAAATTAAGTGTCCAAATTTTGGTCCTGTGGCCAACAGGAGATGCTACAACAGTTTGTAAGTGTGAAAAACGGTCTTAAGTCACTTTTTCAGTGCCACTGTAACCTTGAACAATCAGTAAAAGAGGGCAGTTATTTAATATAACTGAAGAAGGGGGCAATTAATTTGCTGAATGTGGCAGGAGCCCCTCTATGCTGTTTTTAATATTGTTTCCCAGAAAATTGTTGAAATGGAAAAGAATCTGGCTGGCTGGGGGATTCTGGGAGTTGAAGTCCACCCATCTTAAAGCTGCTTTAAAATCACCCTACTGATTTCCCTAAGCAAATTATTTTCCTTCTTTTTTTCCTCCCTCGTAGCTTTACACCTTCCTTCCTTCGGCTGGGATCCTGGAACGTGGTGATGTTTGTGACTTATGAACAGCTAAAACGTGCCCTGATGGCAGCCCGGGCATCATGGGGGACCCCATCCTGAGCCGACTGGCGAGGCAGAGTTTAAACTTTTGCTCCAATCCTATCCATCCGTTTCCTCCGTTCTCCTGACCTGCGCGATTTCTAAAACTCTTGTGGATTTCCCCATTTTAAAATGTTTTACGCTTGCACGTCTCGGTCTGGCTGTAGCTGCTGCTTCAGGATCTGCAAATATTCCTGCTGTCTTTTTTAAAAGTAATTTATCTTTGCTGGACCAATCATCAATTTTAACGCCTGCTAATGTTTGGAAGAGGATGCTTTTTAAACACGCTGCAGAATCGAAGATGCCCCCCCCCCACGCGCTTATCTTACAGAATGTTACCTGAAGTCTTACTTAACTTCTGTCCTAACCAGTTTGCATACCCCTTAAAACACAAACGGGATGAATTTTGTTCCACTTGCACACTCGACTTCAAGCCGTCCCAAAAGGCTTAGCTTGGCCCCTTTAATTAAATTGAATCAGTTCCCTTTTCGGAATTGGGAAAGAATCCATTTTTCCAAAGCTTGCTAAGTCTCCCAGGTGTCTTTAAAAAATGGCAACCGTCTCCAAATTGCTGGCATTTGGGGAGGGGGCCGCAGCCTAAAATGTGTTGCTGCTTGGCTTGTAAACCCCTTAACTCGCATTACAAAGCTGAATTCAGACCCCCAAGAATTTGCCAAGAAGCTGTAATTCAGATTTTCCCACTTTTAAACTATTGTCTTCGACAGAGCTGATTGAAGGATGATCTGGCTTAACTGCACTTTTGTTCCACTGCAAATTTTTTGGGGGAACAGAAAAATGGCACTTTTTTCCATGGGCGAGCCTGCTGTGAAATTATTTGTGATGTTGCGTTGATTTTTTTTTTTAAAAAGAAAAATATGCGCTACGAATGTCAAATCTTTTTTTTTTTAAATAAAGCTCAAGCAAAGAACCCTGCTTTTGTTCTCTGTCTTAAGAGCTGAAGTCAATCTGGGTTTTGTGTATGTGTGTGTCTTTTGGTGTCGGTGTGGCACAATTTAATTCCTTGTGACCGCTCATGTAGTATCTGTGGAGTAAGATAGTTTCACAGCCTTAGCTGAGTTTGCAAGATATGGCCGACTCAGCTGCTGCTACTTACGACCACAATTGAGTCCAGGATTTCTGTCGTTAAGCGAGACCTTTGTTAACTTGAGTTTTGCTCCGTTTTATAACTTTTCTTGCCAGAGTTGTTATTTATTTATTAATCAAATTTTAAGTGAATCGTTGCAATGGTTACGTTCGTAACACAGTTGTTAAGTGAATCTGCCTTTCCCCCTTGACTTGGCTTGTCAGGAAGTCACAAAAAGGGGATCAGAGGACCCCGGGATGCTACAACCGTCATAAGTACATGCCAGTTGCCAAGGGCCTGGATTTTGATCATGTGACCGTGGGGGATGCTGCAACGGTCATAAGTGTGAAACCAATCAAAAGTCGCTTTTTTCAGCGCTGTTTGTAACTCGGAGCAGCCGCTCAAAACAAATTAAGTCTGTAGTTGGAACACCTAGCAGCGTGATGGCGAACCTATGGCACGCATGCCGCCATATCGGTGGGCACGCGAGCTCAGCTCTGGCGCACATGTGCACGCCGGCCAGCTGATTTTCGGGCCTTCTGGGCCTACCAGAAGCAGGGAAACAGACTGTTTCCTGCCTCAGGGGGTGGGGGGTGGGGAAGGCCCGTTTTTCTCTCTCCCCAGGCTCCAGAGCCTTTCTAGGTAGGACCAGAAGTTGGCAAACGGGCCATGTCTCGCCTCCAGAGGGCCTCCGGGGTGTGTGTGTGTGTGTTGGGGAGGGCCATTTTTGCCCTCCCCAGACTCCTAGAAAGGCTCTGGAGCCTGGAGACAGAGAGAAATGGGCCTACCAGACCCACTGGGCCATTGCGTGCCAGGAGCGGGAGAGGGGGGGTGTCACGCACGCATGCATGGGGGCGGGACACATAGAATTATGGGTGTGGGCATGTGCACACGCAACCCCCCCTCCGCTCCCCCCATTCCCGGCACCCGATGGCCAAAAGGTTAGCCATCACTGACCTAAGAGAGAGCGATTGGTAGGCTGCCTTACTGCCTGTATCGTAAAAATGGCATGAAGTTACTGGGAAGTGAGCTGGATAAAAAAGGAAAATTTGTCCTTTAATGGGAAGTTAGGTTGGTTTTTTTTGAGGGGGAGAAGTACAGACACACTCACAAGTACTACATTCTTGGGAGTTTCATGGCCCCCTCAGTCAGAGGGTCTATAAAATTAAGACTTGTCTTGCTAGCACTGCAGGAAACGGAGGGTCTCTTCCACTTCTTTTGAGGTGGGCAAAATTCATTCACTTGGAATTGGAGCTTCTGATCAGCAAAGTCAGAATCAGAATTAGAACAGAGCCGGGAAGGGACCCTTGGAGGTCTTCTAGTCCAACCCCCTACTCAGGCAGAAAACCGTATGCTATTTCAGACAAGTTGACTAGCCAATCTCTTCTTAAAAACCTCCAATGATGGAGGCACCCACAACGTCTGGTGGCAAGCTGTTCCACTGGCTAATTGTTCTCCGTGTCAGGGAATTCCTCCTTAGTTCTAAGTTGTTTCTCTCCTTGATTAGTTTCCATCAGTTGCTTCTTGTCCTGCCTTCAGGGGCTTTGGGAAAAAGGTCAACGGGGAAGCTAGATTCGCTCAACGACCATGTTACTGCAGCTCAACAACCGCAGAGCTTCACTTAACCACCGGGGCAAGAAAGGCCATCAAATGGGGCAAAGCTCACTTAACGACTGTCTCGCTTAGCGGCAGAAATTTGGGGGCTCCACTGTGGTCGTAAGTTGAGGACTACTTGTAAACGCCCGTGGCATGGATGTTCCCTGCCATTCCGTAGTCAAGGAATCAGAAGTGGGATAAGAGCCGGAAGGGACCTTGGAGGTCATCTAGTCCAGCCTCTCTCCTCAAGCAGGGGACTCTAGCTCATTCCAGACAAGGGGGTGTCCGGTCTCTTCTTAAAAACCACCAATGATGGAGCGCCCACGACTTCTGGTGGCGAGCTGTTCCCCTGGTTAATAGTCCTCATTCTTAGGAAGTTTCTCCTTACTTGCAGGTTGCTTCTCTCCTTGATGGGTTCCCATCCGTTGCTTCTTCTCCTGCCTTCAGGGGCTTTGGAGAATAGATGGACCCCGTCTTCTGTCCCCCCTAGTCCTTGTTTTCTCTAGACTAGCCAAACCCAAATCCTGCATCTGAACTCAATGTTTTCATTTATTTCCAAAAAACGGAGGTGGGGAAAGAGCGGCTGGGTTGATGTCCGTCACATGAGGAGGGCCTCCCTCACCAGCGCCTTCTTGGCTGGGGTCAGCCTGGCCGGGAAGACGATGTCGAAGTACATGAAGAGGTCTCCCTTGCAGGTGGGGTCTTGGGGAAGGGGCATCCCCTCGCCGGGGACCACTTTGAAGTACTTTGGGCTGGAAAAGGAAGGAGGAGAGGCAGTTCAGAGGATGACACGTACAGGGCGTCCTCAACCTATTAACCATCTGCTGAGTGACCGCTTGAAGTTACAACGGCACTGAACACTTGGCTCGCGAGAAAATCCGACATTGGCTTGTCGGAAGCTTGCAAACGGTCATAAATGTGAGTCAATTTACCAAACGCGACCGTGGGGGGATGCTGCAAAGGTCATAAGCAGGGGTGAAATCCAGCAGGTTCTGGAGAACCGGTAGCGGAAATTTTGAGTAGTTCGGAGAACCGGCAAATACCACTTTCTGGCTGACCCCAGGAGTGGGGTGGGAATGGGGATTTTGCAGTATCCTTTCCCCCAGGAGTGGGGAGGGAATGGGCATTTTGCAGTATCCTTCCCCCAGGAGTGGGGAGGGAATGGGGATTTTGCAATATCTTTCCCGCAGGAGTGGTGAGGGAATGGGGATTTTGCAGTATCCTGTCCCCCAGGAGTGGGGAGGGAATGGAGATTTTGCAGTATCCTTCCCCCAGGAGTGGGGAGGGAATGGGCATTTTGCAGTATCCTTCCCCCCAGGAGTGGGGAGGGAATGGGGATTTTGCAGTATCCTTCCCCTGCCACGCCCACCAAGCCACACCATGCCCACCAAGCCACGCCCACAGAACTGGTAGTAAAAAAAGTTTGGATTTCACCACTGGTCATAAGTGTAAAAAAGGGTCATAAGTCACTTTTTGGGGGGAGTGCCGTTGCAACATCCAATGGTCGCTGAATGAAAAATTAAGTTGAGCTTAGTTTGGGTAACTCAAACTTTGAGTTAACTCAAAGTTAACTCAAAGATTCCTTTATTAGGAGCGCCAGCATCCTCGGCAAAAAATTTCTCTCTCATCCCATTTCCGTCCGGCAGGGAGATAAATAATTCTGCCACACCCTATTTATCTCCGCCCCCTGCCTTTTATTTCCAGAGCTAGGGTGGGGCTTAGCAACGGTGGCTCTTCCTTCCTGAGTGTCACAGGTACGTAAAAATACTTCAGGTTATATGACGTTCTTAAATAGATGTCCTGTTTACTGGCAAGTGCGTAAACAGAATTTTGTTTCTTGTTCATCTACCGAAGCTGAATATGCTTGTGTTTCAAATGCATGTAATTCTCTTAACATGGTTTGATGCTTTGGTCACAGATATCTGGACACACCCGATCCGACCGATCACCGTGATGGAAGACGATGAATCGGTGGTTTATATTTTCTGAATCACATTTCACAGGTTCTAGGTCCAGACACATTGACATCCGTTATCAAAACATAAAACAATTAGCGAAACAAGGTTTTGTGAAATTGCAGTATGTATCTACACATGATCAAATTGCTGATGTGCTCAACAAACCGCTTCCAGCAGCTCAACACGAGTATCTGCGTAAGAAGATGTGCCTTATTTGATGATGTACCTGATGTCCGCTCAACTGACAAAGAAGGGGATTGTCACTGCGTTTTTTTTTTGTATTTGTCAGCTGGGCTCCCATTCTGAGACTTACGGTAGACAGAGTCTTATCTCTAAGCTACTGCGCATGTCCACCTTCTTTCACTTTCTTCTAACTTTCTTTGTTCGCCTGCCAAGAGGTAAGGCAGGAACGCTGCCAGGATGTAATCATCAGCTAGTAAGACTGTTTTTACTTCTTTATAATAAAATGTGTTTTATTAGAATATGTCTCGGGTTTTGTTTCCTTTAAAAAGTATACTCCAAGGAAAAGCCACGATCCGTCTCTAATCAAGGTGCAATTACCCCAAAGAGGAATGGGATTAATTGCCACTCTGACACTGAGGACCGGCCCATAGATTTCCACTGCCCTCCTCTCCTCTCCTCTGCCATCTGCAGGCACTGGGCTTTGCTGCCCAACCATCCGGCATAAGTTGGTTGTCTGAATGCAACCGGGGAGGTGTTACCTGTCAGCTCCCAAGCCCCTCCCCTTCCTCCAAGACAGCCACTTACTGGACAATATCATTGATGGGGATGTTCAGCAACCGTTCATCGAGCGTCCTCACGTCCACCGTGCAGCCAATCAGGGCCTGGGGGAGCAAAGGATAGGAACCGGTGGGTGAGATTTGCTATCCGAGAAGGACATGTTGCTAATACTAGAAAGGGGATGGGGATTGCAGAGAAGAGGAGGAGGAGGAAGAGTGGGAGGAAGAGAAGAAGAAGAGGAAACGGTAGATGTGGAAGAGGAAAAGGTCGAGGAAGAGGAAAAGGAGAAGGGGGAATTGGAAAGGGAAGGAGGAAAAGGAGAAGGAAGAGGAAGTGGAGGAGGAGGAGGAAGGGGGAGGAAGAGAAGAAGAAGAGGTGGAGAAGAAGAGGAAACGATATAGATGAGAAAGAGGAAACGATGGAGAAAGAAAAGGAGAAGGGGGAATTGGAAAGGGAAAGGGAAGGAAAAGGAGAAGGAAGAGGAAGTAGAGGAGGAGGAGTGGAGGTGAAGGAGGAGGAGAAGGAGGAGGAGAAGGAGAAGAGAAGAAG